AATTAATAAGTAAGTTCAGCCAATCAAATTGATGTTCACTCGCGATCTCAGTGCTGGAGAAGTCAGGTGAGATCATTTGTTCAAAGTCGAAAGCCTATCTCAAAGTTAAACAAGTAACTGAAATTATTCAGCTTCCAGGATAACCAGGACTGCTATGCAAATGTCAATTGTATATTTGTACACTAAAGAGGAACAGAATTTTACAAATGAAAAGTTTACCAATTGGAGTGAAACCAGAAAGTCAAATACTTGGGACCTACACCATCAAAGGGATGGAACATTGGTGATACACATGACGCAAGTCCTAAATAAACATATATCTTCTGAAAATGCCCTGTGTTGATATCTTATAGCAGTTACATAGATATATACATATATGAAAATTCATTTACCTGCATAGTAGAGACTTCAGCATTTTACTGTAGGTGAGGCCATTCCCAATGAGAAAGTTTTGAGTTTTGTTTTACTTGAGTCAGGGATTCATGATCTAACCCAATCTGGCCTGGAACTTATTATGTAGTCCAGCTGAGCCTTGAACAGTATGTAGTCCTGCATCAGCCTCCCAAGCTCTAGGATTATAGGTGTGAGCTACCATGTATATCTAAAAGTTTTGAAGAAGTTAAGAAAAACCACCACCAACAACAACAAAAGAAGTGGATGGAGGCCTGTGTTAGTTATATGCCTACCCACAAATAACTTTTAAACATTGACCCTAGATGTCATTTCAATCATTGACCCTAGAATTGGACAGACTAACCTGTCCAGTCTCCGGTGCAACTTGAAAACCACAGACCACAGTTTTTCAATCTGCATGGGCCTGAGAACCAACCAATATGTTTGGGTGAAATGCCTAGATCCCAACCAAAGAGAAACAGCAGGCCCCTTCCTCATTCTCTGCACATCATGAGAGGTGAGAGGTGAAAGGTGAAAGAGCAAATGTCATCAAGGAAGATGTGCAAGGTGAAGGAAGGCAACTCTTCCTGGCACAGTTTGACTTCCCTGTGTTTTCGTCTTCTCCTGCAAGAGGGGGAAAAGATAACACAGGTGAAAGTCTCCACCAACCACAAGGACCAGTAATTGGAGGTGGAGGAGCAGGCTGGAGAGGTTAAAGGCAGACGGAGACTCAGCAAGATTATCTAACCCACCTGTGCTATTTTACGGTTAGGAAGCTAAGGCCAAGTTTCATGGCTTATTGGAAGTGTGTTGATTATGGGCAATGGGAAGGCTGCCTCTAATCCAGCTGTGTGGGTGCCTAGTCTGGAGTCCCTTTCATTATACAGTTGTGCTGGATAGCCAACCTGAATATCAATGATGAAACCGCTGGTTATTTGCCCAAGCACCAGAGCGCCCTGATTTCAGAAATTTCAAAGCAGAATCCCAAGCAAGCCCGGGGAGGCCTGTTGTGCCACTGACTCCAGGAGCATTTTATAGTGTTTGTTATGCGTCTGCAACAAGAACAAGATTGCTGTTTAGAACTGAGGAAGCTATTTTCATAATCCTCAGCAGGCAGGTATTCTTATGAAGGTAAACAAACACCGGCAACCTCAATTGGTTGACTCTATTTAGTATATTTTAAAAGGTGATGGTTTAATGACCCCCTAGTAGTCTATAACAATTAGTGCACCACAGAAAAGGAAACATGAAATCCGCTTCTCACAAATAACGGTGAGACTAGTGTTAGGAAAAGGCAATCAATCCCAGGGAATGGAATTGCTTTTACCTTCTCACCAGAGGACAATGTTATTAGTTTTGATTCTTAATTCCCTGTTTCTGAAAATATATGATCTTTGGGGGACATGGAAAACGAACAAACACACTATACAATGCCTAGTTACGTAGGTAAGTAAGTGGGTGGATGGCTGGGGAGACAGATAGACAGACAGACAGACAGACAGACAGACATATGATACATCTTTGCAATATGACCTGGGGCAGTTGTGACATAGCAAGTGTCCACCATAGTGGAGCCAATAGGGTTGAGCCTGGGTTAGTAGCTGAAAAGAAAGTTCTCATTGTGGCTGCCCCTTTCACATGCAGAGGCCGTGGACTACGAGGATAGGGAGATCTGTGGGCTGTCAGGTTTATTTGAAAGAGCATAAAAAGATTTATCTTCTGAGCATTGCTTAGACACATTGCCAAAGTTCCTAGGGCTCTCTATGACAAATATGGCAGGCTGGGTTTCTCTGTCATAGATTGCTGCTGGTGAATTGCGTGCCAGGACTTCTCACTTGTAGGGCATCTGTGTACATCTGGAATAATCCAAGGGGGACACACTAAACTGGGCCTAGAAAGATTTTGGTGCGCAGCTCAATGCCCTGCCTCTGCCTCCTGTGTAAAGTCTTGTATCTGCCATGTAGCTGCTGAGCATAATTGAAAGAGGAGAGACATTTGGACCCATATTATACCCTGTTCTTTCCTCACCTATAAAGTGGGAAGGTTAGTGTCTGTCTGGAAGATCTCATTTACTGAGTTATAACATAGACTCAAAATTGGTAGCAATGCACATTATGTACTTGTCATTAAAATGAAGTTGAATCTAACATTAATTAAAACTAATAAAAGCATTCTACTGACTGTATGATACATTTGCATGTGTTTATATTTACCTTTGTATATACAAAAAGCCTGTCCATATTATATTGTTAAGTAGGTGCAGTTGGAGGTCATAGCCTCTGGAACAAGTATCAGCTTCCCTAGCCTGCCTTCTTATCACTTGCATTCTGGAAAAATTATGATTCCCACTCACTTTCATCCTGAAAAGAAATGACCCATTTTGGATAAGTTATATGATCGCCCTAAATAAGGTTCAAAAGGACAGCACTGATTTCACAGACATCCAAGAATAGATTCTGTCTTGGTGCTGATGAATGATGAACCACTAGACAGCCACTGGGTTAAGACAGATTTTAGTGGGGATACCAACAGACCTTGGTCACCTTATTTCAATGACTTGGCAAGTTTTGTAAGGAGCGTCTGTATTTTCTGCCTAGTTCAATGCTGTGCACTCATTCTGTGTGGTTTGATTTTCCAGTGCCCTCTTGACCTGGCTTACTCTTAGTTTCCTCTTGGAACCTTTTCTTTCAGTGTGACAAATAGTACTTAAGCAAATTCCACTCCTAACATGGACCACTCAGGCATTTGGAAGATGGATTTCAGTTAATTCCATCATTTGCACCTCACTCTTGGAAATGATACACAAGTGTCTGTCTTAATTTTCAACTTCATCTAAATAGACCATTCTTTAAATAGAACTCCAGGAATTTCTATTTTTATCTCAAGTTCAACATCAAAGTCAAAGTTCCTTACTGCTCCTTAGAGAAGCTCTAATCTGGACTTTGTAAATAGTGATATAGTCAGTCAACTTTGTTTTCCAAAAGTGTTACTTTTCTTTCCCAAAGCCCAAAAGGACTCTAAACTTCTCATGCATATCCATGTGCTAAAGCAGAAATTTCCAATATGGACGTCAGATCTCATGCTACAGTTACTATGAAACTAGCTGGATGTTGGGGAAGTTTTACTCACCTCTAACAAGGGTAGAAAGGAATGCAGGGATTTCAAGTAACAAAGCTTGTGATTCACAAGTAAACAGGAATAAATTTGTTGTAGAGTATGACTTTTCCACCATGAAATACTTCCAAGTGTCTGCTGATTGACAAACGCATTTTAAACATAATTCTTCCAACCCTGGCTTTTTACGTTCCTAGAGACGACAATCTAAGAACAGTCACAAAAACAAACCACCAGAGACTTGACATTGTACAAGCAGAATTACCATGAATTACAGATCGTCATAACAGATGCAAAAATAATTTTCCTGAACCATGAGATGGAGAGGTTTGCATATAAGTACCTGCAAAAGGAAAGGGGAAAGAAGTCTTTCCATTGCTCCTTGATGGATGATTTACTTATATGAAAATTCTTTATTTCCTCCTCAATGCTGTTTGTGCCATAACTCATAAAATAGTTCCTGAACAAAGAGGGGGGAAGGGAAAACACGCTGTTTCCAGACAGAATGTGGTACAGTTGGTCAAAGTACAAAGTGGGCTTTGCTTTGTGCCAACATCATGATCCTTTCAGTGTCTCAGTTTCTATAGCTTTGATTCATACTGAGTATGAATGGTAGTGCAAATGGTAGCCAGCCTCATTTTGCACTGGACACTGAGTGTGCAGCCCTAATTTTTCCTGAGTATTGGTGATCAGCTCTGATTTGCATTGAACTTTGGGTGTGTAGCCCTGATTTGCACTGGACACTGAGTGTGCAGCCCTGATTTGCACTGGACACTGAGTGTGTAGCCCTGATTTGCACTGAACTTTAGGTGTGTAGCCCTGATTTGCCCTGGACACCGAGTGTGCAGCCCTGATTTTTCCTGAGTATTGGTGATCATCCCTGATTTGCATTGAACTTTGGTTATGTAGCCCTGATTTGCACTGGACACTGAGTGTGCAGCCCTGATTTGCACTGAACTTTAGGTGTGTAGCCCCATTTTGCGCTGCACACTGAGTGTGTAGCCCTGATTTGTCCTGAGTATTGGGTGATCAGCTCTGATTTGCATTGAACTTTGGGTGTGTAGCCCTGATTTGTCCTGAGTATTGGGTGATCAGCTCTGATTTGCATTGAACTTTGGGTGTGTAGCCCTGATTTGCACTGGACACCGAGTGTGCAGCCCTGATTTTTCCTGAGTATTGGTGATCATCCCTGATTTGCATTGAACTTTGGTTGTGTAGCCCTGATTTGCACTGGACACTGAGTGTGCAGCCCTGATTTGCACTGGACACTGAGTGTGTAGCCCTGATTTGCATTGAACTTTAGGTGTGTAGCCCTGATTTGCACTGGACACCGAGTGTGCAGCCCTGATTTTTCCTGAGTATTGGTGATCATCCCTGATTTGCATTGAACTTTGGGTGTGTAGTCCTGATTTGCACTGGACACTGAGTGTGTAGCCCTGTTTTGATTCATTTATGCTTCTGACCTTGGCAGTGATCTGTTCTTATTGTTACAGGGAATGAAAGCTTAGAAGAAAACTATGTCCAGGACAGTAAAATGGGGTTTGTCATCAACGCCATCTACGCCATGGCCCATGGGCTCCAGAACATGCACCATGCTCTATGTCCTGGCCATGTGGGCCTGTGTGATGCCATGAAGCCCATTGATGGCAGGAAGCTCCTGGATTTCCTCATTAAATCATCCTTTGTTGGAGTATCTGGAGAGGAGGTGTGGTTCGATGAGAAGGGGGATGCTCCTGGAAGGTAAAGAATCTGTATCCCCATGACCCCTGAGCTAGACAATGGCAACTGGAGTCCCATAGTTTGGGAATGTTGAAGATAAACTCACCTAGACAGATAAAAAATATGGATGAAGCTAAGACCACACCTCTTTTGAAAAAGTCAAAATATTTCATGTTTAATTCTAAGAACCCTGCACCCTGCTAGCTACACCCTCACACCAAGAAATCACCTGGTTTTTCCCTCAGGATTCCTGAGACCTCCTAAGAGCATTACACTTGTATAGTAGGACATAGCACCCACTGCCTAGACCAGCCAGCACCATTCATAACTGATAGACACAGTGCTATTCTACCCATGCAATAGTATCCATATTACACCTGGTTAATACTATGTGACAGGAAGCAAACCCTGCATGCACATCCTTATCTCTCAAAAGAAGGACTTGGGATTTGGGGACGGAAGTTTGGTTTGTAGTGGCTTCCCCCCCCCCAAAAAAAAAGCAAACAGAAAAGGAAGTTACATATATAATTTTCCTTTGAGTCATTTTACACACAATCTGTTCTACAACATTTGTTTCGATGCCATCAGTGAGCTCATACATAGCTGGTACATAGCAAATGTGCTCCATGTCAGTATTAGTTGTATTAATTCATATGCATTTTCCTAGGAAAGAGATAATAAGAATGGCGGGAAACTGAAATCTATAGCAGGAAGTCAAAAAGCCCTGTAGATGAGCCTATAGATGACACAGTGAGCCCATCATATAGGTCCTGCTATCTTCCAGGGTGTGGTTTTATAGACTCAGAGATTCCCAGGGTAACATTTTCTATGCTAAGTTGAAACATCAAATGATTTAAGTCTTACAACTCTTGGTGCATTGATTTCCTTTTCTGACATGTAATGAGTGTCAAAGTAAGCCTGTCACTAAGAGTCACACACAGAGCAAGTGGAGGAGGCAGTGTGATCTGATCCTGGGGTTTGCCATTGCCTGGCCACACCAAGCTGCTTTTTATCTAATCCTAAAATTAGGCTAATTTACTGGGAGCTTTCTTTGTATCACAATGGGAGCACTGTGAGAGACTTTGCATGGAGGTGTCAAGTTCTACCTGAGGGGAAATCCCCCATGTGGGCTAAGTGAAATCTGTAAAAATCCAATACAACCCAATACAGGATAAATGATATGTCTTTGTCAACAATTAAAACGTGTATTACAGCATTCCTTCCAAGATGCTGGTTAGGTGGGGAGAGATGTCGCTTAGCTTAGAATGTGAGTAGGATGGATGCTTCAGGGCCTGGGAATGTGGAGCTCTAAGTACCTTAGGGCATTGTATCAGGAGGAACAAAAGGTTTGAGATTCAGAAGATGAGAGGTGGTCCACCCATCTAACCCCACTGTTATAAGCCTGAATCCACTGAAAATGAGGCTTAGTAGAGGGTCAGACTTGCACTGTAAACCCTCCTCCATGATTCCGAACAGCAAAATAATAATAATAATAATAATAATAATAATAGCAACAACAGAACTCCAAATCGCATGTGAAATTTACAGTGTTTAATTACCACAGGGCTGGATTACCACACTCTAAATCATCCAGGTCACAAGAAAGCAACTCAGCTTCCATGTCTTCCATCTTTAATTGCACGTTAAACTTCCAAGTCTTTCCCAGATTCCTTTTCAGGGATCTTTTCTCCCCTCCAAATAAAGTGAAAGAACATACCAGAAGGAACCCTGGGGATAAAGGGGGTGGGGTGGGGCTGTGCTTATTATTTAGATGCCAGTGCTGGGAACTCTGTTCTTCCATAAGCCTGGATTCTTCCCTTGATATTTAAGTAGTTTTGTTGTTGTTGTTTTCCCTCCAGCATTTGGAACTTTTTGTAAAAAAAAAAAAAAAAAAAAAAAGTGTTTTCATAAGAAACTATTGTGAAATTGCGGTTTCCAAATGCTAATGAAGTGTGAACTGATTTCTTTATGAAAGCATGAACGAGGAGGTGCTAATAAGAGTTTCAGGAAGTGATTTACAGGGAGAAAGTGGTTTAAGCTGGCAGCTTGCAAGGCCATCGTTAAGCGCATGAGGAATTGTCACTTCCTAATATGGACTGAAGTGCAGAAATTAATGGGGGAAATGGAAAGGCTCCTATTGAACAGTCACAAGTTTCATTGCCTGTGTTCAGGTATAGATCATTCATTGACCCTTAGATGAGTATGAGCTACGAGCTCACAATTAATAGCCATTTAACTCCAACTCGGAGCTACTTCGAAATATTCTGGTAAGCCTCAGTAACAAGGGGGAATCATAAGTATTAATCAAAAGCCAGAGCAGAAAAGATAAATAATGAGCTCCAGACACACTCTGTAAGTTTTCCCCACTGGGCAAGGGGAAAGTTTCTTTATTTTCCATAAGTTGCTTTTCTTTCAAGAAGCTGCTATTTGTAGAAACTGTTAGTTAGAATCTGAATGTGGAGAAGCCTTGAGTTACCCTGTGGGGGACAGGGCACATTTGCACATTAAGAACTGGCAGAGCAATGCCAGTAAGTGGATAGTTACTGTCTGGATAAGGAAGTGGGGCCAGGTATAGCCAAATGGGAGACAACACAGGCTAATAGTCAGTAGCTGTCCAGAGTACTGAAAAGGAGATTGAACCTGACTAGGTCAAAGACAAAAGAATTCTGGAATGAAAAAAGTAGGGGCAAGGAGGTAGGGCGGGATAGAAGACTGCTCAGGAAGAGGTTAATGTCCATCTAGTTCCTTTGGTTAAGCATAAGGAGAGGGAGACACGATGACTCATATTCTAGTCCAGGAGGTTAAGGACAGTGCAGAGCTCAGCAGACAACAGTCCCTCTGCATAGAGCGTAAGTAAACTACTGTGTGTTCTAGTAGGGAAAAAAGGAAGACCTCTAGAGAATTGTCAGAAATGAATGGCTATGCCAACAGCAATGTCTTCCCAAGGGTGTGTTTTGTTTTTGTTCTTGTTTTTTTTAATGTAATAGAGTTAGCCAGTATATTAAGTATATTAACAAGTTCCTAGAAATAGAACTATGAATGATCTTAAGCAATGCTCCAAATGCATACTGAGTCTTACCTTTAGGGCTGTATAAGGTACCATCTGCCCTGTGGTTTATGAATAGTAGATGCCTGGTTCTGGACACCTAAGATCAAGGCACCAGCAGGTTTGGTGTCTGACAAGGGCCTGATTTCTGACTCATGGATGGCCCCTTGTAATGGTTTCATATGGACTAGAAAGGCAAGAGAGGTTTCTCAAACTGATTTTGCAGAGGCAAGAATCTCAACCCTGAGGGTTCCCTCCTCATGAGCCTGTCACTGCCCAATCGCTTTGGAGTAAGGGTCTTAGCACATAAATTGGGGAAGATGTAGACATTGAGATATAGGACCTATGCACGTTCCTGAAATATAAAGTAGCTTCTGACATGTCTTAGGTTCTCAAATCCATATAAGAGCCCTAAGAAAGCTGCAGAGATTAGTGACAGTTTCTGAGTAGTACTGCTTGCTGTTAAAATGTGAGATGAGGCTCTAGCCTGATCCCGATGACAAGTCCTCTGTTCTATCCATCGTATTCTGCCATAGTAGCCCTGGGGAAAAATATTTTCTGGCTCCCAGAAGACACTTTGATTACAGTAAATATTTCTTGAAGGGAAAAAGAAAACAGGAAAAAAAAAAGTAGGTACACAGTGCCACCCTCACTAGAGGAAGTTTTCAGGTTTTCTGCTGAGATAGCTTAGCTGACACCATATGTTCAGTTTGACAAATGTTTGTCTCAATCAGGTAGAGATCCATTTGAATGTCAATGTACAAAATAATAAATTGGCTGGCAAAATGGCTCTATGGGTAAGAGTGCTTGCTTGATAAGAAAGAAAACCTGTGTGTTAAATCCCTAGCACACATATAAAACACCAGGAACAATTACTCATATTGTAGTCCCAGCACGGGGTATTAGAAACAGGAAGACCTCAGAAGCTCACTGGCCGACCAACATAGCTAAAATCATGAGCTTCTGGTTCAATGAGAGACCCTGCCACTAGGCAGCAAGATAGAGAACGAAAGAAGATGGCAAATGTCATATTCCAGACTCCACAAGTACACATGGGTGTCATTCATAATTCATGTGTGTGTACCACACACAAATGCAGCAAATGCAACATTTAATACACACATACATCAAATCCTTAACCTCTTTACTAACTAAAGATGCCCTTTTCAGGTTCCTTGCCGTGCAATACCTCCACTTCCCCCTTAAAAGTTCATTGTAATGAAAATTATAACTGAAAATTGTAACTGAGTATAAAAGGGGAATATGAAATAAAATTCATCTAACTTGGAAATTAATGTTCTCATGAATTGTTACTTGTTCAAAGTGTACCACATGGGTTTAAGGAGTTGATCAATTAAACACATATATCATTACCCTTTGGAGTATAAATAGAGAAAAACTTCAAGAGCAATATATTCTTTAGCAGAAATTGATGGTATATAGATATTCTCTGAAAAGAAATATTCAGAATAAACTATAAACGTGACAGTCACCGGTGCTGGGATGTGCGATGACCCTAACTTAGATTTCTCTTCTTTTACTGAAACCTGCTTGTTTACAAGTGTCCTTGTTTTCTCCATCAGGGAGACATGCCCAGGAAGACTGACATGTATGCACTTTCTATGTAGGTATGACATCATGAATCTGCAGTACACTGAAGGTAATCGCTATGACTATGTCCACGTGGGAACCTGGCATGAAGGCGTACTGAACATCGATGATTACAAAATCCAGATGAACAAAAGTGGAATGGTCCGCTCTGTGTGCAGTGAGCCTTGCTTAAAGGGTCAGATTAAGGTAAGCCACGGCTATATCCCTGGACATTATTGGGAAGGAGGTTGGCCGCCTGTGCAGTAGTAGGAAGAACATATGTTAAAAGCAAGACTACCCAAAAGGGTGTGGGAGAGAAAGGTTAAGACACTGGTGACTATTACGTTAGGATATAAGATTTTAGACATTTAGATAGGTATTTAGATTATATTAGATATTTAGATCTCTAGACATTTGCCTTAGAACTATATGAACTATTGGATTAGTGTTACGTTTTTATTTTAATAGCAATGACAAACTTGGGACTTACATACAATGTAGGCAGCAAAGAGATAAATAACAGCATTAAAATTCAAAACAAGAACAAGTGTGGAAGCCAGTAATGGTGCTTAGTCATAGTGGCAGCTATTACGAAAGAGAGCTCTGGGGACCTGATGCGCAGCATGGATTGTGATGGATGTGTTAATGAACTTCACTGTGGCACCATTTCAGCTATGGTTAAAGAAGGCAGAAGCTGTCCAGTGCCATACATAGAACTAAAATGACAATCGATCATGGGCCAGAGGAAGACCAAAACAAAGCAGACACTTTGGTTAGCAGTGCCCTTTCCCTACTGAGTTCTCCTGAACTGGATTATTTTTTTTGAACAATGATAGTGTCCAATATTTAATTATAGTCAGGGACTTTTGAGAGAGAGGAAATAGCTCATGATATTACTGTATGCAGAAAACTAGAGAAAATAAATATGAAATACCAGGTTTCTTGCTGGATATGCTGGGCAGAAAGGTCAGTGAAGAAGGTTGGGAAGCATGGCTTCAGGTCCAGGCTGTTTACACTCTGACTGGGCATTGCAGGAAGCAGTAGAGTATAGGGAAGGGGCGTTGAGCTGGCAGGCTCACAATAGCTCAGATAAACTAATAGGTCTTCCCTGGCTCTAATTTGCTATGATTCATCTCAAGAAGCAGACAGGCAGCCACGTAAATGTCGTACACCACAGCTGTAGCTGGAGTCGATCTTGTGTGAAGATCTGGACCCCTCCCTTGTGTCATCATGATGCTGTGCTCTTCCCAGGAGACTCTTCCCACGCCATACAGGCAAGGTCCAAAGGATGCTGAGGAACACTGAGTATACTTAAGTTTCCTGGGACCAGAACCTAGCCTAAGTTTTTTTTTTTTTTTTTTTTTTTTGTAGAGGATTGAGAATCCTTTTATGAACTACTAGAAAAGCTGAAAGTTTTAGAACATCTAAGACCATGAAGCAGCTAAGAAAGCTTGTCAGGGAGGAAAAAACTCATGGTAACTCTTGCCACTTTGAGGAAATAATGAAGCTGTAGGTGTAACTATCTTGTACCTTCTCAGAAGAAGTTGCACTAAAGCTAATTATACTCATGGTAGCTAGATAGGTGTGTGCTGATGATCTCTTACTATGGCCACCATGGTCATGGCTAAGCCCTTAGTTTGTAGGTATTATAGTCTGTGTGTGCCACAAAGGTTTGTGTGCTGCAACTTAGTATTCAGTGTGACACGTGAGAGATGGTAGGACCTTTAAGAGGTAGGCCCAATGGAAAAGTAATTAATTAGGTCATTGGGGGTGTCAGTCCCCAAACAGATTAATATATATCCTTTGTCTCATTCAATAAGTTATTTTGGCAGCAGTGTGTTATGAAGTCAGGTCACTCATGTGCTTAGACCCTTCTGTATACAACCAGTTCTCCTCTTTGTTGTGCTGTAGCTCAAAGGAGCCCCGATAAGCAACCAAACAATGTTGTCCAATCCTGGGCTTTAAGTCATCAAAACTACGAACTAAATGATTCTGTCTTGTTTCAAAATCTTGTAGCCCCCAGTATTTTGTTTTAGGAAAAGAACATGTACTAATTCAGTGGACCTCATTCGCCAAGGATTCTGTTCATGGCCTGGGTAGTATAAGGCAAAGGAAATAGGGAGATGATGTTAGTTTCCAGCCTATGCAGAGATATTTCAGTTGTGTATGAGTGACTCCAGCCAAATCACCACAGGTGAGCAAATAGGTCTGCTTCTCAGTAGACATCCCCTTTCTTCTCTAGATGGAACTCTTTCACCTAAGGCTAGCTGGTGGTGAGATCCGAGGCTTCAGACTTCCCCTTGACTGTTACTATGAGGCATCAGACCAATGGATGTTTTGTTGTATTGAGCTCTTTTTGTTTGTTTGTATGTAGAGAAAAAAACAAAACATTGGATGACTCAAGTCATATGTGGGGTAAACAGAGAAGTTCCCAATCACTATCGTTCTGACTCTTTTTCAATTGGAGTGATACTGAGTTGACTTTACAGATGATCATTGCTGAACAGCTAATGAAATGATCTTATTCTTCAGGTATAGGGTGGAGGAGAAAACTGACGGGAAAAACATTTCCGCCCCCCCCCCACGGATTTGCCAGATTCCAGATCCCTGCATAGCCTCTCCTGTCATTCTGTCCTTGGCAGGCCATGACTGGTGCTCACAGAGCATGCTCACACAGGTTCTCATTGTACATTCCAGAAGAGAGGCAAGGCTGCCTGCATGTATCTGTCTGCCGAAATGCTGAAGTGTTTCTAGCAGTATGTCTGCATTACACCCTTATGACGTTCTCACATGAGAACGTGGTAATCATTGTTGAGCCATTGCAAAGTACTCACCATAAATGCAAATCTCTTGGGGGCCAATTTTAGAAATATTCTGTACTCTGCAAGAGAAAACCATGTCTGTTTTCAGCAGCACCTGGATTGGAGAGATGTTTGTTTGTTTCCCATAAATACCTTGGGAGGTAGAAAAACAAATGAAATCTGAATCCTGTTACCAGATAATAGCACTTATAGTCTAACACCGCTAATTTACCACCTACCAGGTTTAGGATAGCAAGCAAGATCTCAATAGCCACTGTGAGGAGAGTCAGCCTGAAAAGGATCATAGGACATGAATTTGTATTAACTGGAAAGTGGAGTCTTCACAAACAAACAAACAAACTAAAAACCTTTTAAACATCAAATAACATAAAGTTAATACATTTAACACAATAAAGTAATAATTTGATGCCTTTTTTGAGAATCCATAAAACTTTATTCTAATAATTAAAGTTTATGATAATAATTTATTCTGAGGCTATTAAGAACCCATTTCTATTCCTTATTTTTAGACATATGTAACTTATAAAAACAATATATTTGGTGCTAATACTTTATCGAGAGAGCCAATTCTAGACAATGTAAACAAAATACATTTTGTTGTTTTTTTTCTTACAAATCTAGCCTGGTCAAAAGACTCTGTGCCACACAGTTTAATAAAGGGCATTGAATATAGGAAACTGGTTATAAAAAAAAAAAGTAACAGAGGTCACTGTGGCAACCCAAGGGTGAGAAACAGTGGGGCCCAGTTCGCACTCCTGGAATAGAAGGACAATGAAAAGTTCAGAGCCTTGTTCTAAGATGCTTTCATGTACAGTGGGGTGGGGAGGGTGAAGATCCCCTGTGTTCTGTGTTCTTGCCCTTAGTCCTTCTTCATTGTCAAATGGACCTAGAAGAGAGTAGGCAACATCTCACAGGTACCCTTGCACCATAAGAACTGGACTATTTGCAAGCCTTCAGTGGCAAGTCATTGGGTGATTCTAACCCAGACAAGTGGGAGCAAAGGATGAGAGGACATAAGACGTAGAGGAGCAAAACTGGGTAGGAAGTTGACGATTAGAAGAAAGAAGGAGGAAGGAAGCCAGGGACTTAGAGTCACCCTGTAAGTCCTTGTCAAAGTACGGTGAATTCCTTAGCAGTTAACTCCTCGCAGTGGCTCTTACACAGAAGGTATTACTGGCCCTCCCTTTCTAGGTGATGGATCTAAGACCCAGAGGGCTTCAGTCTCATGCTTCTTCATTCTTGCATCTAGAATGTTAGTTACAAAGCTGGGCTGACAGCCAACCCAAAGCTCTTATCATCCCACGGCCACATGTCGTTCAACTCTGTCGTTATGTGAACTGGCATGTTTCCTGTAAGTGCGGATTTCAATTTCCAAGCACTGGGTTTTCAACAGTTCACAATAAAAACAAAAATACTGATCCACTTTAAAAATACAAAAGGAAGAGTATGTAGAATTAGGGAGAAAAGCTCAGGGGGAGGGGAAGTTTAGTAGAGACAAAGAAAGTACCAGAGAATGAACGAATCTGTAGAGATTGCTTTATAGATCTCCCGCATGCTCTCTCTCCTCCCCCCTCAACACCTCCACTTACACAGTTTCCATTTAAGTTGACTTATAGATGGTGTTCCCAAGACTCTGAGACTGGGTTGGAGGCTGGGGCAAGAGAGAGGAGAGGTTCCTTTCATCCTCGCATATCCTGGAGAAAATGGCACATATGGCAAACATTTCCTCTTTATACATGGCCTATTGTTGTGCAGTAAAGCAATGCTGGTTTTTTTTTTTTAATTTGTTTTTGGTTGTTGTTTCTTTTTTAGATCAAATTCAGGCCACACATACAGGCTTCAAAACTGAAATAATTTTTTCTACTCATGATTTTGGCCAATGTGTTTACTGTATTTTATACAGAGATAGAGAGATAGAGAGAGGTTAAGTTTTAAAAGAATATAGAAATATGGATCTCAAAAGACTGCTTAATTTGAACTGATAAACATCCCCTCATGCAAGATTAGCCTCTTATATCTCTCTGGAATTAGTATTATTGTTTTATTGATTGTTTGTTTTTATGGCTGCAGAAAAATGGGTAAGAGCAGATCTGTTGAGCATCAAAGTACAGGGGACATTATAATTTTCAGTGTGATATCAGATGTTCTGATAGATACAAGGTCTCTTAAAGAGTATGTTAAGCAACCATTTCTACTTGTTCCTAATTGGATCAGGGTATTCCTAGATATGTGCCCTGAGCATTTGAGGATGCACTGCCATTGGGGTGTTAGGGTGGATGGGGGAGGAGTTATCATGGAGAAGTTCCCTTTGGAGAAAACTTGGTATTTCTAATGATATCTTTTAAATTGCATTGATAATTTCAATTCTTTATATTTACCCTATCTTCTTTAGACACAAAATAGTATTAGACAATTGCTGAGTGTTTGCAAGACTGTAGCACAGTAGGGGTTTAGGATTCCAAGTGATGTGAGTATTCTCTGATCATCCTTGCAATAACTGACCCTTACTAACACTTTCTTATGCTCTGCCGTTTCCATGCTATATGTCTGCACATTTTCCAGCTTATTTTTTATTGTTGTTAAGTAGTTCTAGGTATTACCTTTGCCTATTCAGTCCAATTTCAGAATTATTCTCTAAAAGATGTTACTTGAGAAAAACATGACAAGACAGAGAAGCTATAGACTATGTGACTCTTTGCCTGTATATGTGTATCTCTACTCTTTGATGTGAATTGTTCCTGCTGCTTTATATAGAAACAACAATGAGAAATAGACTTTATACCAAGTCTGTGTTATTTAACAGGAACCTGAAGACAGAGGTGTGGGAATGCTGTAATATTCCTATACTAATCTCCATCACACCTGTTCGTAGCACACTCAATGTCCCCTGAGAGGAAAAACAACTTCAGGCAACATGATAGAATATAAACATTGCATTATGTGAGCTCTGCTGGATAGGACTTTGAAAAGCATGATCATCCCATTCATTTTATAATGACGGAAGCATTGTAACATACCCACAGAATTTTGTGTCACTAATATTATATCAGCATTCCTGTTAAAATCAACTAGTAGATTAGCTCTTGCCATTTTGATCCCAAAGCTTTGTTTGAAGAACAGAAAACATGAGAGGTATTAAAAGAATTCAGAAAGTAAGGGTTGGTAAATGTATTTAGTATTATCTTTTGAATTTACCTAAATAGTAATATTAGTTTTACTGGGAGATGAAAGATTAAAGCTGGTTGAACTGATACATAGTATTTTATATTGATTTTTAATATGCAACTCATCTTAATTAAATAAGAAAGCAATAAAAATATGCCTTACCATTTAGAAAGCAATGATTGTTTGAAAATATTATGTCATTTGATCTTTCCCTGCAATTCTAAAGTCAGGGTATAAATTTCAACTCTTCCTGAAAATAATTTCAGATTTATGAAGGCTGGGGTGTCTATCACTTCAAATTATGGCAATATTTACAGCTTAATTCTGACTTTACATATGGAAATGTTTGTTATTTTTAATGTGCGAGTGATGGACTTCTGCTACTTTCTGAGAGGGAATACCAGGGTGCAGTCTGTGCCTTCTGCCATAAACAATGAGAAAGCTTGATGGAGTATTTGAAAACACTGTGTTCCGACATTGGAAGACAGCTCGTGACCTTGATGCCAGGGAAGCAAAAAAAAAAAAAAAAAAAAAAAAAAAAAAATGTGCAAAGAAAACCCTAAAACCATGCAGGCTTCCGGCCTGAAGGCAATCTCCCGATTGTTCAACTACACAGAACACAGAGTTTGGTCATCTTGCTAATTCAAGAAGACAGAATCAGATTTGGGGAAGGCCAGGAGAACTGCAATTTGCAGTACAGAGTAACAAGACGACGGATTTCTGCAGGAAACAAACAAATAGTCCCGGAATAAGCACAGACATCCCCTTGAGTATTTGAGCATCATTCTGCATATAAGTGGAGTAGAATCTGAAGAATCCAGGCAAAGGGCAAAGCCCATGGAAGTGAATTCTCAGAGGTGACACAGAGCCAACAACTGTCTCAATTTCTGATAGCCAGAATGGAGATGTCTTGTTGAATACGATTGAACAGGAACTAGAATAATCAGAATTTATTAATGAGGCTTACTCTATAGCAAGTATGTCCAACCTGCAGCCCCTGGGCCACATGTATTTTAAGATAGCTGTGAATGTGGCCCGACACATTTGTAGATGAAAAACAACATCACAGTGTCAAAGGGTTGGATATTCCCCATCAAAGGCAGGGTCCAAAGTGGTGAAGACTTGGCTTAGCAAACTGCCTGCTAGACAAGGTCGAAAACTAATGAAAGATGGAGAGAAAGAACTCAGTGCCTGGTTCCTTCACCAGCATCATGACCAGCATCTGGTTTAAACTTCTTAGACACTGTGAGAAATGTGGAAAACCCAACACGTTATCAGGACGAATATCACATGATACTGTTTCTGAGGTCTTGGCCAAAGAAGCCTAGCTCTAGGTCCAGCCACTCATCCACATAGGGAGAAGACGATCTAAAATATTCAAAATGAAAAGTATGTGTCCAATTTCTGCTCTATCTCCACCTTCCCACAGCATCGATGGAAAAGTTTCTTCAGGGGAAAATATTTCATCAGTTTTTACTTTTAAAGGTAACTAGCAAGTGTTAAAATAAATAAGGATAATGATGTATTTTTGTTTCATGTTGTTACAGGGTTTTACTATGTACTTTTTACTGTCCTGGAACTCTGGCTATAGACCAGGCTGGCCTCAAACTCACAGGGATCACCCTTCCTCTGCCTCCTGAGTGCTGGGATGAAAGGCATGCACCACCATATGCCTGTTTTAAATTTTTATTTCTTAAAAAATGCTAAAAAGTAATGTAATTGATTCATTGTTTAAAAGTGATACCAAAACACTTCCAGACCCAGAATGGAATGAGTTGATGTCCACTCACAATCTCTAAGATCATGAGGTTTGCAAACTTTCCTTGCTTTCCTTTAGCCAGTAGATTTGTCAAGGTTGTTGTAAAGACAAGTCCCCACCTGAAACAGGAGCGTGTCTGGGGTGCTGACTTCCAAGCATCTTTCTACGAACCGTCATGTCCAGCATAAGCATCTTTTCATACTAATTGCTATGCTATATTTTCCTCCCACTTCTTCCCTAACAGATTTGAAGAAAATAAAAGCTAAGATCATAGCTGGGCCCAGTGTTGGCTCACACCTGCCATCTTAGCATTTCCATAGCTGGAAGGCTGGATCAGGAGGATAGCCTATGGAACCGTGCACACCTTCCTGTCTTGCAGGTCATCCGGAAAGGAGAAGTGAGCTGCTGCTGGATCTGTACCGCGTGCAAAGAGAATGAGTTTGTGCAAGATGAGTTCACCTGCAGAGCCTGCGACCTGGGGTGGTGGGCCCAACGCAGAGCTGACCGGTAGGAGCAGCCTGCCTGCTTGATTATTGCCCTTCCTTCCTTCCTTCCTTCCTTCCTTCCTTCCTTCCTTCCTTCCTTCCTTCCTTCCGTCCTTCCGTCCTTCCTCAGAGCTCCATCTGCCTCTGCCTCCCCAGTGCTGGGATTGAAGGTGTGTGTCACCACACCTCCTGATACCTCTCAGCAATTGGCGCCATCTCTTTGTCACTGCCTTTGGGTCCACACTTTGAGCCCCGTAGCACGTACAAGTCCCTTGAAGTTTTCATGGCCTACATTGAAAACAAAATGCATTTCCCATCTGAATACAAGTGAGCTGACACGTGGTAGGAGAGTCTGCTACAGAGATGCTTTCTTTTCAAAATTTTACTGGAAGGCATTTCAAGCCAATCAAATTTGTATTTGCTACCATTTCTTGAACATCTGTTGTGCGTGTGTAAGTTACTAATATAATCCCTAAAGATATAAAGGTAAATAAACCACAAACCTAGCCTTTCATTTTTTTTGGCATTTGTATGCCCTCTCTCTCTCTCTCTCTCTCTCTCTCTCTCTCTCTCTCCTCTGTGTGTGTGTGTATGTCAATTACTAATATAATCCGTAAAGATATAATGGTAAATAAACCACAAACCTAGCCTTTTGTTTTTTGGCATTTGTATGCCTCTGTGTGTGTGTGTGTGTGTGTGTGTGTGTGTGTGTGTGTGTGTGTGTGTGTGGTTATGGGCACGTGAGAGTATATTTTATGTGTGTCCATCTTGTCATTGTTCTCTTGGCTAAATGCTGAGATTACAGGTATGAGCCACCAGGCCCAGCTATAATTTTAGCTTTTATTTTGTTAAAATCTGTTAGGGAAGAAAAGGAAAGTACAATTAATGTAAAAAGATGCACATACAGTATGGGAAGGTTCTTAGGCAAACAAGGAGAGGAAAAGCATGCCATGGGAGAGTCGAAAGTTCGTAACAGACTTGGGGCAAATTAGGGAACAAGCCCTGGGTTGGGTTGATGGACACCACAAGTGTTAAGAAGTGAGACTGGGTAGGATTACTGATGGCAGGGTACTTATGGTGATTGCTGACCTTTCTCCCAGCCCTAGTCTGTGCTTAGACTTCAGCTTTCAGCGCAGGAGAACCATGGGGAGAGTTTTGAGGTAGAGAATGGCCTCATGATACCCCCTTTGTAGATAGATGGATCTGATGGCACTGTGGAATGCAGACAAGCCTGGAAACAGCCATGAGGGAGCAGCCACTTTGGTCTCAATGAGGCAGTTCAAAGGGTATGGACTAGAGCAGCTTCAGAGGAAAAGAAGGGGTAGCAATTGGATGCAGAAAACTATTTGGGAGTAAAATGAATAGAGCTAGGGTGTACTGATCATGTGTATATACACACATACATGTATGTTATATGTCAGTATATATGATATATATATATATATATATATACATATATATATATTCCTAAAAAGCAGTGTTCATATACACAAATCTTGTGTTTTATAACCCATGGCATGATCTCACAGGAGAGAACCATTTCAGAAATATTTCACGTAAATTTTAAGTCTAGGGTCATAGGAACCTTGGCCCGTGGATAAACATAGACTTGCTGCACTAAGCCTTCATCTTAGAGGAAGTAGGAGAAACCCAGAGGCATGAAGCTGTGTGTACAAGGTCCCGGAGCTCCTGATCCCAAGACTCCCTGGATGCCTTTGGAAGTCTTCAGGAAAGGTGACAAGGCTGCTGAAGGTTGATTGCGTTTTGCCTCAATCTAAAGAAAACTATGAAAGTAAAACACATGGTTTTCTCCAAATATAGTCTTAAAAATGGTTAGACAAGTAGAACTAGGTCGCATAGCTAAAATTATACTAAAATGGCACAACCTTGCAAAATGTTAGCCCTGTTAGAGTCAGGTCTAAATGAGTATCAGAAATCATCCGATATAAAGACCCCTTTCAAAGAAAGAAAATTAGATGGGAGTGTGGCACGTCTGTTAGATTGGAATGTGGTACATTTTTGTTTGTTTCTTTGTTTCCTTTTTGAGACATGGTTTCTCTGTGTAACAATCCTGGCTGTACTGGAACTCACCCTGTAGAACAGGCTGGCCTTGAACTCGGAGATCCTCCTACCTTTGCTTCCTGAGTGCTGGGATTTAAAGGTGTGTGCCACCACCAACTGGCTGGAATGTGATATTTTTGAGGGTGCTGACTACATTAAACACACTCTTCTTTTTTCTTAATTATTCTCTAGTTACGTAACCACCTTCGTACTCTCTCTAGTTCTGGAGTGGGACCTACTATTATGGGACACAATAAATGCCCATGCTCGTGCAGGCAAGCTTAATTAAGTGTAGTACGTCACACACACAATACTACATCAAAAGAAGTGGCCCAGGGAGGAGAATAGACAAAGAAAATAAGAACAAATTTAAGGACACTTTGATCAAAGGTACAGGGAATTATAAAAGAATAGTTTTATAACTTTTATTTGTACTTATGTTATATTTATTCTAGCATGCAGTGATATATTATTTATGATTTATTGAAGCTTGCCTGAGGATTCAGAAAGCAAAGCCAGCCTCAAGCTATAGAGAGAGGCGATGGTGATACACACCTCTACTCCCAGCGGCAAGAAACTAGGACTCAGGATTATGAGGTAGACCGATCTCTGGGAGTCCAAGGCCACTCAGATCTACACAAGATTGATCCAGTCCTAAAGAGAAACAGCTCACACCAAGATGATCCCAACACCTGCGATCACATGCCTTTTAATACTAGCACTACAGGGGCATAAAAGATAGGAGAAGCAGGATCTTCAGTGGTCAGTATCTGGGATTTATTCTCCAGCCACATTGAGGATAGGAAGACATTGGAGTCCCAGAATTTTCCAGCCACATGGAGGAGAGGTTACAGTCTGAGGTTTGGTGGAGCCAAGGTTCCTCTTCAGTCTGAGGTAGATTGAAAGCTAGCGCCGGCTGCTTTGCTTTTCTAATCTTCAGCTTGAAGTTTGAACCCTAATATCAGTCTCCGGGACTTTTATTTTTCATGTTACACTGACGCCTTAAGTTTTAAGTTTTTGTTTCTCTGGCGTCTTCCCAGTTATCTTTTTCTTCTTTGCAGCCTCTGTTTCTGGCTTAGGAACAATGTGTTCCTGGTCAGGGAGAGTCATTTCCATGTGGTGGGAGAGAGCTTGTGGATGGGTTAATCCACCATGTGTTCCTTATGCTCAGCAGAACATCCTGGGGCTTTCTTCACCTGGGTATTGCTCAATGGCAGAGAACCACACCCAAACTCCAGCTTGGTATTACTCCAACCATCCTTAAGCATGTGAAGCCAGAATTCAGTATAATTTGGGAGCCAGTGATCCTGCATCCATTCCTGCTCTTTGGCCTGGGCATACCTACCAACTCCATATTACACAGATGGAGGAGCACACATTGCTTCTTCAAGGTGACACCCTTCAAATATTTCTTTTGAGATAAGAATACCCTTGATGGCCTAGTTCCATGGATGTCCTTAAGGTGAACGTGAATATTTGCTTTGAATGACTTTTTTTTTTTTTTTAGGGCTTTTGGGTCAAGAGTGCATTGAGCCTCTTTTCTAGGTGGCTTACAGAAAGGAAAACAAAATGTAAAGAATACACATTAGAGAAAGGATGACCTTTTACTAACTGGTGCTGAAAGAGTTGAAACTTGATTCTATCATTCATTTTGAGTAGAAAGGATCCAAAGTCTATCAAAGTCCTAAACGTGAGATCTAACACAACGAAACTTTCAGAAGAAAGCACCCGTGAAGAGATATTTTAACAAGCTGGTTGGTGCAGGCTAAGAGCTTCGGGATCATTTTCCCCAAAGCACTGACAGCAAAAGCAGAAACGGACAGAGCACATGATATCAGTTTAAGAAGCTTATGTACATCTTTGGAGGCAGTCAGTAAGGGGAAGAGAAAGCCCAAAGGGTGAGGGACCAGTTTCATACTACCCCCCTGATTTCGAGAACATACAAGCAAATCTTGAGTCTACATCACCAAGTTAGGTCGAAGCTTAGGCTAATCACTTGGCAACTCTGAATCCCAATGTTATTGCTTGTCAGATAGAGGTAATTAATTAAATTGCATCAGTGTCTTAAACACTACTTCCAATCCTACCCATTGAGCAACACTACTCTCATGCTCATAGCCTGGTGCCTTGGACGTAATAGCTGTGTTATACTGTGTCTGTTCCATTTAAAGAATTAGATCAATGCAGTTGTCGATAGAATGGCTACCTCATATACATACATACATACATGTATACATACATACACACATAATACATACATACATACATACATATCTCCTCACTGGGCCCAACAGCCTTGTCACCTACCTCTTAGTTGCATGCCCTGGGTGGCTTCCAAGTGATTTTCCAGTAGTCTCCTTTGGACTCAGGCCTGCCATGTCACTGAGAAGGTCTCCAGTTTTCTCTTCCTCCACTGCAGGGGAGCTTCCTGCTCTGCCTCCTCTCTTCACAAGTCCATCCCTTAAACAGCCATGCTGTTTGAGAGCTGGAGTTGACCTAGCACCCATTCTCCCCTTTGAGCTATTTAAATGAGATCTGGCTGACCAGGAAGGGAATCAGGGCTTTCTTAGGTTGTTCTAAGAAGTCAGAGGTTCAGGATGGTTTTTCTTCTTTGCATTCTTTTAAGAGTACCCAAGCCTTCCCTACTGTTCTATTTTCACATGAAAAAGAACTTTTATTTAAACCTTAAAATGCATTTTAAAGGACTGCCAAGGTGCCTCAATAGGTTAAGGTGACTGCTGCCAAACCTGCTGACCTGAGTTCAATCCCTGGGACCCACTGAAAGGAAAGATGTCTGCAAGGTGTCTTCCAGCCTTCACATGTACACACACACATGCACACACACACACACACACATGCACACACATATAGTATGACAGACACACACACACACATGCACACACATATAGTATGACAGACATACACACACACACACACGCACACACAACACTCACATACATG